CCAAGTAATGTGAGATTCTAATAATTACCGACATCATCTGTTTGGTAACAAATACTACCACCCACTTCTCATTTCAAAAATGATGGACCAGTTCGCTGAGGACATCCCCGAAGAGCAGGGGATTTCGTGACATTTCGAAACCCTTCACTACCACCGTTGAAATCAAAGGCAAAACCAATCTGCTGCAAAACCCATAAGCCACGCTGGCGACCCATCACTCCACCTCCATCTAAATAAGCCTCTCGTCGCTACTGTATAGAAATTTCAGCTCGTCGCCTATCTCTCTCTTCACTAGAGCCGCATCTAAACACACGCAATTGGTCCAAATATCAGTGTGAAAGCAGACAGGTGCTTGGATGGATTTGGCGAGAGAAAGTATTTAGATTTCAATTTGGTCCCTGCCTTTAATTTGGATTGGGGCCTTCTGCCCCTGTTTTGTTGTTATTAGAGAGAGAGAATTTTCTAATATTATTTTCAGGTACCTTTTATTCCAGTTGGTTGGCATGACTACTTCAACGAACAAAAAAAGGGGAGTTACTCTTTTTATATATTATTGTTTTACATTATCGTTTCGTTTTAAAATTGCATCAATTAAATTTTTGTGATGCTATTATTCTAGTGTTTTTTTTTACCTAAAATCATGTAATTGGATCCATTAACTTCGTTAAATTCCACTTGTACCTCACTTATTTCACGTGATTAAGTTTTTGACTAGTATTTGACCCCTACTTTGTTAGTTTACATATATCAGCAATATTAGTTTGTCATATTTGAATTTCATTAATCCCAATTTTTTTTAAAAAAATGCTCAAGTTGTTATTTTCTATTGCTTGCACTTACTGTTCATTGGTCTCTCCATTGCACGTCAATTAGTTGTTAAGACAGCACATGCAGCTGCGTAGTGATCGTCTTGTCACTTCTAATTTTAGTACCGTAACCATGGACCCCTCACAATTTGATGCACTCACCTGTCAAATAGAAGGTATCAAAATCCAAATGACTGTTACTCTTAAATAGAGTTAGGGCATAGCTACTAGTCTAAACAATTTTAAACAAATCCCTCATTCTACTGATGTTAATAATTCTGAAGTGTCCAATAATAGGCAATATATCATCGACAGCTGATCAAAAATATTTTCGAACTATCATAGGGATAGGGATCAAGTTCGTGAGCAAGAACGAGTTTATGCCCCTTCAGGTACTCATTCTCTATCTCGTCATAAAGAGCGTTTCTTTAAAAACATTAAAGTAGATGCTCCTACTTTCGATGATTACTTAGATCCAGGAGTTTTTACTCGATGGAATGCCCTTACACAGGGAAATCAGCTAGTGTCTGAGTATATCGCTCAATTTGAGGAATTTTGATTGAAATGTCATGTCCTTAAGGATGAGACCCTGACTTTTGAGTACGTTTAGACACAGTCTAAGAGAGGATCTTAGACGGAGCTTGTCGTTTGGGGTGTTACTACTCTTGATCACACTTACTCCTTAGCTCGAGAGTATGAGCTGCTTATTAGGGCTCCATATGAAAAGCGTGGTGACAACCGTCCATCCATCTCATCAGTGCCACCTCCTCCCGTTAAGTCTTTTCTAAGACCTCCCCTGTCTAACATTTCTCTGATTTTGGAAAACAAGGGTAAAAATCCTGAAATTTCAAGGACTTCTTCTCACTCGCAATGCTTCAACTGTAAGGACTTTAGCCACATTTCTTCCAAATGTCCTAGACGAGCCTTACTCAATGAGGAACAAAAGTACGTAATGGATGAACCATTAAAAGATCAAATCCATGAACCTAAACTTAAAGATTTTGATGACTTGGATAATAGCGAGAACATCTCCTTAAGTGGTATCTAGACTCTTCTTGTGAATCTCAATATTGTATCCCTCGAATACAAGGATCACTCTTGGTCAGTCTTGGTTGTACGATTTGGATGTGTCATTTCATAGTCGATTCAGTTCATGTTCCTTTTTGTTTAATGGAAAGAAGAGTCATTTTATCCCTTATAGCAAGACTTCATATACGTCTAAG